CCCGGTGAGTTCAAGCAGAAGCTTAACATCGGCGATGATGAGGATGAGGATGGCGAGGGCGGTGGCAACACCGTCTATGACGAGTTCGGCACTTGGATTCAGGACCAGGCCACCGCTAAGGGCGGTGTTGATAACGTCGACTCCATTGACATCTTCGTCAAGGCCAAGGAGCTCGGCATCGAGACCAAGCACCGCTCCGTCCTCGTCCTGGTTCAGACAATCTTTGACGAGAACATTCTCGCCCAGATTCCCAAGCGTTCCGGCATGATGAAGCAGGTATGTCAACGTAATCTTAGAGGCTTGGTATGTGCAGATACGCTAACACGCACTGTAGTTTGTCACTTCTGACCGCCACGAGAAGGCTCTGCTTGGTGGCACCGAGCGCCTTATTGGTAGCCTCGGCAAGGAGCACCCCGAGCTGTACGCTCAGATTGTCAAAATCCTGCAGTTGTACTACAACTTCGACCTGCTCAGCGAGGAGGTCGCCATCAAGTGGGGCAGCAAGGCCAGTAAGAAGTACGTCGATGTCGCCACCTCCAAGAAGGTCCGCAAGGCCGCCGAGCCCTTCATCAAGTGGCTCGAGGAGGCCGAGGAGGAGGAGTCGAGCGACGAGGAGTAAACGGGAGGTTATGTGTCGGATATCACTCGGTTTCTTACAGTACAGTCAAGGCTGGCGTCAGCAGGTGGCCCTGCCCACTGGTTGTGCTCAGCTTTTGCTCGGATCAGCTTCGCTCATTGGCTTTTCTGCCTCGTACACTCGGTCTTCACTTTCCAGATGCTAGGCATCCGGCGATTCCGTCGGTTTGCTAGCATTCACTGTTCCTAGGTAGCACATCCTGTAGGCCGCAATTAGGGATAGTCCACTCTTGACCAGCGAATATTTCTGATCAAACTGTATCTGCCTTATGTGCTATTTCTGTTCATTCGCTTTGGTCCTGTTAACCCTCGTCCCTCAGGACACCAGCGTAGCTAATTAGGTAGTCCGCGCGCGCCGTATGCCGCAAATTTCACGAAACTAACTCCGCATCCCGCCTCACGCCAATTTGCTGCCCAACGGCCTGCCGCAAGCCAACGCAGTCTCAAATCCATAGACGATAATTATGTTCCTCGATCCCAAGCAAATCCGCAAACGCAGCCTTCGCCCAGGCGCCATTACTTCCTCTAATCGCATCAAGCTTGGATATCCGGTCCTGTCGCAGACTTCAAGTTTCGTCTACTTGTTTCTTACCAAGTATCCGCAAGTCCATTGGTAGATTGCGCCATGCTTGTATCACCCCAAGGTAGCGTAGGGTCCCAGGCTCCTGGCATGCTCTTGCTGCTGCCGGAGCCCTTGCTCAACTCGGTGCTGGTCGGATTCCAGCCGTCTCCAGCGGGAGCAGGTCCCCATCCGCCGCCCTCACCCGCCGTCGTGGTATTCTTATCGCTCTTCTCGCTCTTCTTTGACGTTTGTGAAGCGTTGGGGCTAACCGTCGTCGGTCCAGTGTTGTTGTCGGCTCTCCAAACTGGGTTGTTGTCGCCGCCCTCAGCATTCCAGGCATCGTCGTTGTTTGAGCCCTTCTTGGAGCTCTTCTTTGAACCATTGCTCTTGTTGGAGCCGTTACCGACGGGGCTATTCGTCGAAGGACCAGCGTTGTTGTCCCAACCTGAGTTCGACGGCGGCGCTTGGCTCTTTCGTGACTGATGCGAGTTGTTGGAACCACTCGAGACAACCCGTCCAGAAAACCCGACATTGTTGCTCTGATTATCCCAATTGGGAGGTGGCTGCTGGTTGCCACTGGCGCTTCTGTTGCTTCCTCCCCCGTTTTTGCTTTTATTCGACTTCTTCGAGCTGTTCGAAAGATTAGAGACTGTTGCCCAATTGTTGTAACTGCCTCCTGTAGCCCAGGTGTCGCCTGTGTTATTGTTAGAGGCTCCCCAGCCGTCTGTGTTCATTGTCTGGCTATTGTTTCCGTTGTTATGGCCCGAGTCTCCCCAAGTATTGTTGTTTGTCGTCGCTCCCCAGACATTGTCGCCGCCAGACGCTCCTTGAGCAGCATCGCCCCGGGTATTGCCTGACGAGCCCCAAGTATCATTGCCGGTGTCGTTTCCTGACGTGTTCCAACCGTCATAGTTTTGGCCATTGCCTGAATTGTTCCAGGTGTCATTTTTCTGGTCGTTGCCTGGATTGGTCCAGCCACTGTTGCTTCCGCCGCCCTTGTTGCTTCCTGACCCGCTCCTATTACTTCCTGAACCACCTGTCGTTCCCCAAGCGTCATTATTTCCATCACCAGTTTGACCCCAGGCAGAGCTACTTCCTGTGGTCTGGGGCCACCCAGAGTTGCTGCCCGCTTGACTCTTCGCGGGGGTGCCCCATCCGAGGTCTGGATGCTGACCACTGGGTATAGTCTGCCAGTCGGTGGTCTTCTTGGACCCCCAAGACTTCTTGCTCCCGTTGTTGGATCCCTGCTTGCTCCCAGCTTGTGAGCCGTCTTTGTTGGGGCTAGACTTCTTGCTGACGGTGTTCGCAAATTCGGCCCAAGGCGTGTTCGGATTGACAGTCAAACTGATGTTGATGGGAGAGGCTGGTGCAACATTGTTGTTTAACGGCTGGGCCTTGGCGCTCTTTGCAGGAGAGGGAGCTTTGGCGCCCGCTGGACCAACATTCGTATCCCATCCCTTCTCTTTGCTGTCTCCTGCTTGGTTGGCCCCTGACATCTTCGGCGACCCTTTGACTGAAGAAATCTTGACTGGTGACACTGGAGCCCAGTAAGGCGGTATCTGTGGCATTTGCATCGGGTCAACCGGGGCCATCATCGAAGGTCCTCCTGGCATGTAGGTGACTGGAATAGCACCCCATGGCGACTGGCTCTTGGAGTGGCTGTCGCCAGGATTCATAGTGCTAGAAAACCCATTAAAGTAAGGGTTCTGCAATGGATGAGGCATGCCTAAAGGCAGACTTGCCTTGGAAGGATCGCGCGCGGGATACAGTAGTCCATAAGGATTGCCGTATGCTGGTCCGTGATAGACTCGAACGACGCCGTGCTGCGAATCATGGAAAGCATTCGGTCGGGGGTCCTTAACCCCTTCAATGGCATGCTCAACCTGTAGAACCTCAGCTCGGATGGGCATGATGAGATTTGGGCGGCGGAGATTGGGAGATAAGGCGGCCTCGGGTCTCAATTTCTCGGGCTCGCGAGCTTTCTTGACCTTCTCTTTCTTCCTGTCGTCGTTCTTCTTCACTCGCTCCTTCTTTGTCGGACCAACATTGTTAGGCTCGACGTCTCCTGCGGCCGTTTCCTTGGATTTCTTCGCGCTCTTCTTGCTCTCCTTCTTGTCCTTTGTCTTCTTAGCAGGCGGCGGTGCCTCATCCTCGGTCTCTGTATCGGTCTCTGTATCGGTCTCTGTCGTCTCAGCATCGCTATCGTCGCTCTCGGATGATGATTCGGTTACCTTGTTGCTCTTCTTGTCGACCTTCGACTTCTTCTTTTCTTTTGGCTTGGACTCCTCTTCAGAAGTTTCTGCCTCAGCTGCCTTCTCCTTGTCACCTTTTCCTGCCTTTCTTAGTCTCCTGCGTCCTATCTTACAGTCTCGGCACTTGCAGTCCGGATCGGGTTCTGAATCACCTGAAGATTCGGCGTCTGATTCGGCCGCTTTCATTGCGGGCTTGGGTGCTCCCTGGAAGCGCACCTTCTTGATGTTGGATGATCTGACAGCAGAGCTCTTGCTCCCGGCGCGTGGATATGTGATCTTGACGGTGTCCTCCTCAGACTCCTCGTCAGTCGAGATCTCGACGCTGATGCGCTGTCGGCCAGTCGATGTCTTGCGCCTGCGCCGCTGAACTGAGTCGCAATACTCCTCTACGCTGACTCCAAGAGCCCATTCACAGAGCGTAGAACTTCTGCCCTTAACCGTCATGGCAGCAGCGACCTAGACCAATTTAGCCTTGCGTGAAAGTTTGAAGACTTAGGGTGTGTTTGCAGATTACAGGAGGGTGTGCGGAAGAATCTTCGCTCGAAGTTAGTGAGTAGGAAATTGCGGTTGTAGAGGACCTTTTTTTCACTGATGTGGACTTGGGAAAGCGCGGCAGAGCAGCAGTTGCGCGAGGCAAGGGGAAGTTGGTCTTTATTCACCTCAAATTTTGGGAAGGAACTACCTCGGCCACCTTCCACCTGCCAGACGAGCTTTTTGGGGCACTATAATTCATGACTGATACAGAAATTGAATAACGGGAAAGAGTTCATTTCAAGCAGATAGAAAGAGTGTTTTCCAAGCAGATAAAACCATCATGGCACCTTCGCCCTTCTCACCATGCGGGCTAGGGTCGGTGGTAGGTTTTATTACGCCCCGTACAGAAAGTACGTCACTAACACATCTGAGTCGCATGTGAAGAAACCATCTTGAATATTGGAAAGCATTGCGAAAGTGTTGCAATTTTTAATTTTTTTTTTCAACTACGGAAATTCCAGGTTTGGAAGAACTGGGCCGGCATCTGACAATCGAGGACCGTCGACGTGGAGACTGCCTCCGCTCTTGGTACCAAGAAAGCTACCCATCTCTCTTGTGTCACGCACAATTGACGTGATTTCGTCCAAATCTGCCTCGAAACCATGAACATAAGAAAAGTCCGGCCATCCAATTTACCCTCGTCCTGTCTCCCAGTTCGTCCCAGTATCTGCCGTGGAGCTGGCTTCGGACATTTCATGTCCCATTATCAGAACGCGAGGCAATTCTGGATTGCCATCACGTCAGTATGGCTATCGTAAGTTCTCTGGCACGAGTCCAGAATACCTCGAAAACTGGAAGTCTAGTTGGGAAGTCGTCCGAGGGCGTCCCAATGAACTACCAGGATCAGCAAGATGGCTCGGTAAAGAAGTTTGATGAGGAGACTAACTAGCAAAGTCTGCGATTATCATCGCTCACAGTTCAAGTCTCGAGGACCAGCGACGTAGGGTATCGCTGCGCGGAGTGAGCTGACTGTCCTAGAATTGACAAAAAGGTTGGACTCACAGCAAATAGTCTGCCTAGTTGGGCAGACGAACGGCGTAGAAAAAGCCCTCGTTAGTGACATACCAGCGGCAATCGCCGAGGTTGTCAATAGTAAAACGGTTGCGCTGGGTCCAATTACCGTCAACCTCGCGAACAGGATAATAACGAGACGGGTCGTCATCAGCAGGCTTGAAGTCCTGAGGCTCAAACAAGCCATTGGCGTAGGCGAACTGCGCCTGTTCCATGGCTATCTCGCCAGCCGTCTTTCCAAAGCCAGTGACATCAGGAGGAAAACCACCATTACCTGCAAAGACGGGACCGCCGCCACCGCCCATGTTTGGGGGCATGTTCATGCCCATGGGGGGAGGACCCTGGAACATGGGGACGCCGTTCATGACTTGGGGATGGCCCTGGAGCATGATGGGCGGGTTCTGCATGGCCATTCCAGGCTGCATGATAGGCTGCTGGGCGATCATGACGGGAGGGTTGGAAGGAGGAGCTTGGCCGATGTAGGTGACATTGTTCGGGGGCGGCTGCTGTGATTCCAAGTTAGTATAGTTTCGTTTGGGAGTTAGCGAGGCAAAATGAATAGATGATGAGACGAAGGTTGCGAGCAAACATAGGCATGCCAAAACCACTTGGCGATGGCAACCAATGGAGATTAAAATTCTGGGATGTGTGAATTTATGGTGACTTGCATAATAATAAAAGATGAGGGGCGCATTCAGCAAGACGGAAGCAGGCTGCTGCGCAACGAGGGTAGTAGTGGCAAGTGGGAGAATCTGAACTTGAGGAGAACCGACATGGTAAGCATAGCCAGGGTGAGGAGGCCCGCCGTTGTCAAAGCGAGGCACATAGACGTGCTGCATGACACCGTGAGAAGTGTCAGGGACGGGCGGCTGGAAGTGAAGACCTCCGGCAGGCGGAGCGACGTTCTGGTAGTCGGCCATGTTGACGTAGGCAGGAGCTTGAAGACCAAACGGATTGAATTTTCCAAAAGGTGCGAAAGCGTTCGCCTCTGCAGTGAGGGCGGGATGGGTCGAAGTTTGGGGGATGAAAGGTCCGTAGGTTGGCTGAGGAGGGACCTGGCCGAAAGGTGTTGAGGGTGGAAAGTTGTAACCAAGATTGACAGAGGCAGAAGGGTTGGTAGATGTGTGAAGGAAGACGCCAGGTACAGGCTCCTCGTCTTCGTGGTTGTCGGAGGTAGGAGCGGTCGAGGTGGTCGAGGTATCGGGTCCTTGGGTGATGGGGAAAGAGCTACCAGAGCTGTGGCTGCTGCCCTCCTTGAAATGAACCTGGCGAGGTCCACCAGTGTTGTTGGCACTCGTCTTGACCTTGGGAGACTTCATTTTTTCGGCAGGGCTTTTCTGGCCTGAGTAGTGATATTCAGAGTCGATGTTGATCTTGGCCAGCCTCCAGGGAAATGTCTGATTCGATCAGGGGTTGAAGGGTCGAGATTGAAGAAGAAGCTTCCAGTGCAGAGCTCGCCTCAAAGTTGAAAGCTGGATTGATGAGGTCTCCTTCAATCCATCGCAATCTGAAGTGAATGGGGCTCAAGTGAAGTTTTTGCAAGAGATGGCAAGAGGAGAAAAAGAAAGACACGACCCTAGGGCCAGGTCTAGAAAACCCTCACCCAGCCGCATTGAAGCCATCGCGGCCTGATCTTTTCGGCCTGGACTCCTCAGCCATAACATCACACCACGACTAAGCGGGGATGAGGCTACAAGAGCAGTGTGAAGAAGACAGGTTCAAGGGATGACGCCTTTGTGGCGTTTCCCATGGGAGCACAGCGAGACCAGGGGAAGGGGGTGTAGAAAGAATAAATCAAAGGAACCAAACGAACCGTGAAACCATCCACTTACCATCTCCATGACATATCGCTGACCATCCCACACGTAGCGGTATACATGAGGAGGATCTTCGTTGTCGTAGTGAGCGCCTGAAAAGGGCCAGCAGCCACACATCTTGACCAAATCGTAAGGGGTTGGATTGTTGTCGGAAGAAGCAGGGCCAGAAAAGTGGTGTTGATCGGAAGAATAAGTGTAGCCTTACCACACATAGGACGAAATTTTGAGGACTGGGAAGCCAAGTGAAGACCGGTCGCTCCCACTTTGGCGATTTTTTCGCAACCCATATTATCCATACCACCTGCTCAACGCAGCAAGGCAGGCACCATTTTCCTCACGCTCCTTTGTAGTTTAAGAGAGAAGGGAAGAGAGATCAAGACGGGAAACCACCAATTCTCCTGGACTGAAATCGCGATGCTCGCGCTGCGTCGCACGGAGGTTGATGGCAGATGAATGAAGTAAGGTACCAGCGAAAAAATCCAGACAGATGTGTTGATACATAAAGGCAACTTGGCTAAGAAGAGAGACCGAAATATTTTACAGAGACGAACGTTCCAACAGCCCGAATCGCAAGCGAAGTGCCGCCGTTTTCCACTAATATCCTTCGACCTGGGCTAGAATGTCCTCACTCAATCACTCAAAGTCCCGAGGCCATCCTCCTCGTCCATCTGGAGATCGGTGGCCTTAAAAAAAGGCAAACCTTCCAACATTGACCGGGTCGTCCGGTTGGCCCGCGTTCTCGGGGACAGAACGCTGGAAATCTCTGAGCCGCGGCAGCTCTTTCTGCAGTCTGACTTCCCAAGCCTATGTGTCCGGAACGGTTTACCTAGTCAGAGATCTGCGACGGAATTCACCGAGTAAGGATACTCACCTTTGCTATGGCGACGACTTTTCCTCCGTTCTGCACGTCCTTCACCATGCCATCGAACGCATCTGCATCGCCCAGTTCCTGCTGAGACCCCTAAAGCTCAGGGCGGAATATTGACTCGGCGTTGTAGAAGGTGCGAAACATCCATTTGCCTTTCTTCTTGTCAAGTTCCTCAAGCCATGCCTTGTAAGTCATCGCACTTCCCCTGTTCGGGGGATGGGGACTGTTTTTGGCGGCGAAGGTAGCAATATGAAGATAGAATCGTTGAGTAGTTGACCAGCAGTGGATGGAACGGGTCGACCGAGAATGGATGCGTTCAATGTTCTCGATGAAAGGCTCGAAAGTGGCCCAATTTGGCCATACCAGCATTTCCAAAGCCGTCGCGCCATCTCCACCGAGATGAACGATCGCGATCTTGAAGCTGTCATGATCAAGGAGGGGATACGCGTGGAGAGTTTCTAGTCTGGCTAGGGCAACCGCCTGAACCTAAGTTATCGGCGTCAATGCAAAACTTCTTAAATCGGCTGAAGATGTACACAAACCTTGTCATCTAGCCAACTAGGGTCGTGGAGAGATCGGGGTCTCGGTGGGTATCCTGCTCCAAGCTTGAGGAGCTCTTGATCCAGGAAATTATGTAGAGACAGCATGAACTCGATCGACCTTATACGAACTGTGTCCCGAAGAGCGTCGGATCGCGCTTGCAGGCTGTCATGTAGGTACTGCTTTCCCTCGGAAAGCGGGCTTGACGTGTCACTGGAGAGGACGATGTGACCACCGAATTCGTCATCGACGCGCAACTCACCCGAAGGTAACGGAAACTGAAGGCTCGTGAGATCGCCACGGCGGAATCTTGCCCGCATGTTGTCCAGCTTGAGCTCAACGAGGCTGCTGGCCACATCCTTGAGGATTGGCCGTTGTGTCATCGCGGTGGTAGTCGAGTGATTGTCGACGCGAAAGTTTGTGACTGTGTCGGAAGATGAGGGAGCAACTATTTGAGGAGACCTACCGAAAGTGGTGTTGACCTGTGAGAAACAGGCACCCCTTCCCCCTCCGATGGCGGCTTTCAAGGCAAGGAATTGCGCCTGAACGCAGGGACAGNACCCCTTCCCCCTCCGATGGCGGCTTTCAAGGCAAGGAATTGCGCCTGAACGCAGGGACAGTTGGCACTCCTCGAAATGAATGTGGCAGTATTGTTTAATATCTTTTATTTTATTTTTTTGGTTGGCGAGTACCGAACGCCCACCACTACCACCCAATGATGCGGTCGTCTAATGCTTCTTCCCAGATACTATACACGGGTCCACTAGAGGAGAGATCGTCCGTCCAAATGCCCAAGACTCCTCTAAGGCTCTCTAAATTCCTACTCAAACAACAGACAGAAGAAGCTCGTATCAAGCGAGCATTGCCATCCACAGATCCATGGTGATCCGAGAATGATAAAAGAGTTTCATTATTGGTGGGGTTCAACGAGGAGAGGTCGTGAGAGGTGTGATGTCGTGAAATTACAAATGGGCGTGCTGTGAAGCCGTGGGTTCGGGGATGGCGAAGAAAGTTCGGCGAATAACCTAGTCGAAGCGTTAGAGAACCAGAATCACAATTATGTGCAATTTGAAAACTTACAGCCCAGGCACCGGCCACGGAGGCCACAATACCACCAGAAATCAGCATGGGCCTCACACCTCGTGTGCTCTTGAAAACCATTCCGCTCAATCCGCCGGCCAAAATAGAGTTCGCGGCATCGTGCTTCCCTCTGAAGTAGCCGATGCTGGAGTTGAAGAGGTTGTAGGTGATGGCGACCACACCGGCCGAGTTGCCGAGGAAGGGACCACGGCGGGTGACGGCGTTGAGAACCGAGTTCAGACGCAGCTTCGGAGGTTGGTTCGCAGACCTCCTGAGGCCCTCCTGCAGACCCCAGGCTCCTCCTATCGACAAGGCCGCCAAGTATGTGACACCGGTTCCGTAGCAGAGATCATCCGTAAAGCCTCGGGAGGGGAGAACGGACTGGCCGCCAGGCACATCGTTCAGAGCGGCATCTTCGAGTGAGAGGTATTCGAGAGTGTCCTTGTTCAGGCCGGACAGGGGGTGTAGTTGTGCGGGGTCTGCAAAGGCAGAGCTCTGGAGGAAAGACTCGACACCAGATCCTGCTGACGGGTCGAACTGGGTGGGCGCAGTCTGGAGGGTTGTGGGTGCTTGAGAGGGCGCGGGGCTTTGCGAGGCGCCCGTCTCCTTCTGAGCGGACTTGCGTCCAGAAAAAGCATCCCAGAGCGACGACATGGCGAGAATCGTGGACGTGGCGAGTGTATTGATGCCGGAGATCGGAGTTGGTCAGAGGACAGGAGACGTAGACTTGTGCGGCCGATGATGGAAGCATCGAAAAAATTTGGGCACTCAATCGCGACTTGGACCGTGCATCCAAATGCGGGAAAGTGACGGATGCGACCTGCGGAATTTTGGCACCGACCCACTTATCCCGGTCTTGGTTCGGAGTGGAGAGACTGTGATGGAAGGTCATCGGCGGTTCTTTATCGATAAGGAATGGAGGGAAGATAAGACGATAGCAGCCTTAGGTAAGCTGCCTACCTGGAGTTTCCCTTCCTGGTCTTGATGGGACGATGGCGGGGATGATCTCGAGCGTTTGCGGCCGGTCTCCACTCGACCCCAGGCAACGACAGGCAAGCGGCAGAAGGCAGGGCGCAAGGCACTGCCCAACTCGTCTTAAATTAGCGAAAAGCAAGTCTCAACGACATCTTATCCCAGCACCAACAGCAAAACCAACGGCTGCTGATCCTCATGGCTCAGCCCACCGACAACATTGTTGGTTCCATTTGCATGGCAAGCCAGCCAGCCTCGCGAATCCTACACTGCTCCAACCGTCATCCTCCTCATGCTAATCCCCCCGTCTGAGACAGTAGTCCCAGCGAGCCCACGCCAGGCTCATGTTAGCTGCTCAAAGACAGATGCTGGCGTGAAAATTTGAGGCATCCGCGACATCCTTCCAGGGGCGGGCGAGGCAGGTCTCGTGTATCGATGGAATGTCTTGCTCGGCAGGCGTCTAGGAGAATTACTGGCTCGTCGATCTGCACGTTGCCGCCTCGGACGAGCTGTGCCTTGTATTCGAGCACAAACATGCATGGCTCTCATTTATGTGTCACCGGGCTGAACGCTTGGACGAGGAACATCGTGCTGTGCCGTCTTGAGAGTTACATTGGGGGTTGGATTGATGGTCGTTGGTGCCTGGTGTTACCAGTCTGCTATCGCCCAACCTTGTGTGTCTGTGAGCGTTTGAGTCACATACTTAAAGGCAAACCGCATTCCTTTACTATTTTTGAGGGTTGCTTCCCCGTTATCTTATTGCATGTTTCAGTGTGGCCTGCTCAAGATCCTTGGCACATTCGTCCTTAAAAGACTGCGTGAGACCACCTCGCAACACTCTCGACGTAGCCTCACAATTATAAGCTTGCTCTCATCATCCGATCGACAAGATGCTCAAGTTCATCAGCGCTGGTGTTTGGGGCCTTCAGGTTTGTACTCTGGTCATAGGCCATTTTCGGTTTCACTAACGTCGCAGGCCATTATGGCGATTGTTGTTCTGGCACTTTCCATAGAGCTCATCAAAACTCAGAGGATTGGCGACGCACCTACAACTCTCAAGTACAGCGCATTCACGGGCGGTTTTGGCCTGGCTGTTGCCGTTTCGGGTGCAGTCGCGGCCTTTTTCGACGCCATTCCAGCCCTCGTTGTAATGGCAGCCGATGCTGTCAGTGGACTCTTGCTTCTGGGCGGTGGCATTGTAAGTCTACAAATCTGACATTGAACTCTCGGTCGTTAACTATATGGCAGGCCATTGCAATTGGATTAAGCGGAACAACTTGCGACCCCAAGACCCAAGACGAACTAGATAAACTGCGAGACAATGACCTCGTCAACCGTGGCAGAATTACGGTTGACGGCAAACAGACGGTCGGGGCCGAAAACCTAGGTGAACTCCAGAACAACTGCAGGAAGGCAACAGCTGATCAAGCCATGCAATTCGTAACTTTTGGTTTTGTTCTGGCAACGCTTGCTCTTGTTTTCTTGGTCTGGAGGAGGAACCGCGCTGGTGGCGGAAGGGCATATGTTTGAGGCATTGAGAGATGTCTTCTGGGATGCTGTGTTGCGAATCAACAGAGAAGCTTGTCGAACAGTTGAGCCCAGTTGTGCTGGTTACCCAGATTCATGGAGCGTTGCGTGTTCCCGTCTTTAGTTGATAGGTTTGGTTAACGGGCGGGCGAGGGTTCCATGTCGCGGTCCAGCATTGATGTCGATTAGAGCGTGGCACGGAATGTGTGGGTAATTCAGATGCCTAACGTGCGCCCGCAACTTTTCGTGCTGACGGTCAACCACCTTCGTCTGGAAGATGCTGCTGTTGCTTATACGTAGCTAAGGTGAACTTTATCGTGTTGGTCCAAAACACGGCCACACGTCGCAAAAAGCACAGCGAAATCTCCAAAAGTTTTACAGACGGGACAACGCCGTGAAGGCCACGTAAAGGCAGGGTTTACTAATATCAATGAAAAATCTCAAAATAGTCTGTTGAGACCACCCCACAGTCAAATACCAGGAAAAGTCGTCGTACTCGGCTGATAAGGAAAGGTGTTCACATGGGATTTTATTTAGGGGGCCGGGAACGGAAGGAAATCCACGGAGAACAGGACAACCCTCAGCAAGCCGCTATGCGGAGCCGCCATTAGAATTAAAAATACACATGACGGTGTAAGTTTAACCCAACTGATGTAGTGAAGAAGAGAAAGAAGGTCTGAATTTCGCATCGCGAGCAGAGATTTTATGTTCGACCAGGGGTGGGGCTGATTGGGGTTAGGCGCTAGCGACCGCCGCCTGTGTTTCTCCGGCCTCCATTGGACCGTGCACGACGGATGGGTCCACATTTGGAGCAGAGACCCTGTCCAGTACCGCTACCACAACGCAGGACCTGTATGGCCTGGCACAGAAGTAGCTGTACAGGCAGTCTGTGATCAACGATGGAAGAGCCTGTCGATTGAGCTTCCAAGGAACGGACGTGGTTGTGTGACGATGACGCGCGCCGTAATAGCGTCCTCTGGGGCCAGAGGTCAGCCTCGACTTCACTTCCTGGTCACTCGAGATCATCACCTCCCATCTGCCTCATACATCGAGGGATAAGGTAGCAACCATCAACAGAATCAACAGACTGGAGAAGCAAAGATGGCGCCGGTGCCCCTGGAGCCAGAAGTCAAGTGTGTTTGTCTATTGTAAAAGGAATGGATGATGATCGACATTCTGACGCAGTTAACAGATACCTGCCTTTGAGCCTGGTGGGCGGCCACGCGCTGACGGTGGCATACCTTGGTTTCACTGTCGCTCAGAGTTTGTACAGATCATATCGAGATCTCCCGCCGTCCCAAGGAACAAGAGCAAGACTGGTTCGGAGGTCAACTCTTGCGCCGCTTTTTGCGGGCCTGACTCTCGTCAGCCTCTCACTCGCAGGTTACTGGACATTTAGCTATGCAAAGCTCTCATATCGTGTCTGGGCCGATCAGCGCGGAGTGGAATCCCCAGCTAGGTTCGTTGTACCTGGGTATGTTTCTTTGTCTGGCTCGCTGACTGACCGAACTTTTAGGTTCTACGGCAACAACGGTGTCTTCCCTTACGGCGAGAATGCCACTCAGGTTTACGTCGGTCGCTGGTTGAGCGATACTCCAGTCCATTTGGACGCTCTGGAGATTATCGCGGAGAAGGCTCGCCGGTTCTGGTGGGGACAGCAGATCGAACTCGCGACAATCTCCTGGAGCCTTCTGCTGGCGGTCGAAGGCCGAAGGAGGAACATCCCATCTGTCTGGGCGTATCTCGCTTTAGCTCATTTGGTAAACTTGTCGTTCGCGCAAAACCTCTTTTACCTGGCGTTGATTCTTACGCCAACTCCGGCTCAGGCTGAGGATGGGCGACAGCCAACTACGGCATTCGGACGCCTTCGCGACAAGGTCTTTCCTCCTAAGCCTGCAGACTGGTTCCCTCACCCGGCGCTACTCCTCGCGTCCTTTTGCCTGAACTACGTGCTGATATACTGGGCACCATCAACAACCGGAACAGCGTTCAGAAACATCGCAGTGTTTGGAAGAATTCTGACGTTTGCGCCCGTCATAATTCCAGCCGTTGTTCCGGCCAGTTGGGGAACGGTGTACTCTAATCACCATGGGGCATACAGGATCGTCACTGAGCTATTCCGATTTCTGTCCACGGCGAGTTTCGCGCTTCACGTCAAAGGGACTGCCCTTGGCCTGCTGTACAACGCACCGGACGCTCACTATCATCGTCATAGTCGGTTCCTCCCCTTCGACAGAGAGGAGCGCTCGACGTGGGAGCGAACAACAACAGCTGTCGGCAAGGTCCTGGGATCGGCATCCGACCACCCCGTGGTAGCAGGCGTGGCATGGGACGTTTTGCTCAGCGGTGCCAGCCAAGGTTTATGGGCTGCCACACGTGCGCTGGATGTGGACGACATTCTGGCCTCCTCGACACCCTTCGCGCAGAAGAATGCCCCGAAGGCGCAGCCACTGACCAGACTGCTGGAAGGTAACGACAAATCAACGCCGGAATCGGAAACGGGCAGCCACACCAGCGCGGTCTCCACGCGACGCAGGGGCCGCCCAGCGAAAGCGAAAACCGGCGAGATGACAATTTCCAAGACGGCTGTGGCCGATGGGAATCGCCGAACCCGAGATCGGAGAGCCACGGAAGAAGTTGACGAGGCACCGGAGGATGCATACGAGCCGAGCGCTGCAGAGAGCCGCTCTGCCGTCGAAGGAGATGAAATGCCTGATGGTGAATTGGATTGGGAGTCTGCAGCTCTGGCATGGGGCCTGACAGCTCTCGGCGGCCTGGGATCCTGCAGCGCTGGGGTGTTCGGTGCCGAGTGCACATCGCGATGAGCGGTTGAAACGGATGGGGAGTGCGAAATACACTTAGCGGCCTTGGATGCCCGTTCACAACGCAAAGCTCTTTGTCGGCTTGCATCACGGTTTACCTAGACAAATGGTATTCGACAGAGCTCGAGGACGGCGACCGCCTGAGGCTGGTGGCCGGCAGGCGGTTGCCTCTTAGTTGAGGGTGGCGTTCCGGGAGTGGTTTGGCAGATTGGAGATAAATGCACCAATCGAACTTCTTTTCGCGTCCACGCGCGGATTTTTCCTCGTCCTTAAGCCCGCGAGGTGTCACTAAATGCACCCTTGCATTTAAGGTGCCTGGCACTAAGTAAGACATGGCTCGCATCCAGACCCCAATCATTGAGCGGCCTAGCCGGGACCATCGGAGACGGTTCGACGTCTTCAAAGAACACACTTTGGAATGGCCCTCTTTCAGAACAATGAGTGCTGAGGTCGAGTCGAGACCGTCAGAGACCAACCCCGCCACGTTGGAGATCATCTTCGATCAGAGGCGAGCAGCGAGCATCGAGCTTTCTGATACACACGCGCCGGAGACAAGCGAGGACTCCTTTGGTCGAGAACGACCGCCGGGCCAGAGGTTTTTGGAATGACGTCGGCCCGCATCGAAAGCACCCACCCCGCAAGCACCCGTAGAGGCGTAGCGCCTTGCAGACTGCCACCCATGGATCCGACCCTAGGCACGTAACGCGGACACAGCGGCAGCAAGCCCAGTAACCGATTCTGGGGTGGTGTGGTGGTGTTAGACTCAGGCCCTGTTCTGCAGACTCAGCGGCGGTGAAAGCACCCCAGAAGCTTGACCCCACCAATGCAAGGTCCAAGAAGGCCGTCGAACGACGTACATCCCACCATCTTGGATCGACCTAACGGTGCTTTCTTTGGCATTGCCACATCCGTCTTGCAGCCAGTCATTCTCGGTATTCTTGCCCATCTTTGTTAAATACCATTGGCATCCCCTTCCCTCCCAGGCTTGCTCCAACCACAGATCAGCACGCACAGCATCTACAGATACTCACAGACTCTCATCAACTTCATCGGTACCAGTTCTTGTCTTAACACCTCCATCAGTACCTTATCTGTGGCTCATCGACACCATTCTGTCGATACTATCGATACCTTCGACATCTGAAATATTCCTCCCCCGCCAGCTGTATCCACTATGGCCATCCGTGACCACTTCCGCCGCCGCAAGTCCATCTCTGAGCCTAGCCAAGGAAACGGCTGCTCATCGCCGGAATCAAAGTCCCCTGGGGCCCTCCGTCTCGCCAAAACACTGCGATGGTTCTCAAAGGATGAGAAGCCGGAAAAGAAGGCCGTCAAGGAGAAGCCCGATCCCCGCGAGAGGCCTTTCAGCGAAACCAACCTCCGCCACCAAGAAATTCTCAACGGCTTCACCCTCACCTTCGGCAAGAGGCAGCCAAGTCGCGACACGCGGTCAAGCTACTACAGCATCGGCGTCAGTCCCGGTACTTCAAGACACAACAGTGTGGACGAGAGCCCGCGCCGGATGAATTCAGTGGCGCGCGAGGGGCCGTTTGTCCGGCCTGTGCCGGAGGAGGATGAGAGAGTCTAGGATCTTATGCCTTCTGGGAGGTGTCACTGTCGTTAGTGAAAAGCATTGCATCGGAGTTGGGACTGGCTTATCATACGGGAAAAGACGATTGTTCTTGGTGGAAAACACTATCTTGGAGGGTGGATTTTGGATGTTGTCAAGGTGTACGTACATATGGTGACCAGAAGCCTCAGGCTAGTATTGAACCAAACGAGTAATATTCTGCATGCAAATACTCTTTCCGAGATAAGCGACATCTATGGTGATTCTCCTAATTCTAATCTGTTATTTGGTGGGATGGTGTTCTTCCAGTTCCCAGAATTGCGATGGCCAAATTCGCTGTGATTATCGTGATTGTCGCTGTCGACGTACTCGACGCCTTGGACCATACGGCTGTGTTCATCTTGCCATCTTCACAATGCCAATTTATAAATACTTTCCATTCTGTTGCCTTGAAAAAAGCTCAACTCTGGCGATGTCCACACGTGGTCATTGCAGGTACCTAGTATGTCCTTGCTGACCCTCTTCCTCCTCGTGCCCTCGTCGTGCCCTCGACGCACCTTCCTGTCCCGGCCACCACTCTTTCTGTTTGCTCTTTTCGTCCCAAGGCGCGTTCTAGCGAGTCGACCCTCAAACTCATCACTCCTCATCACAACCGTCGAGGCTGTGACCTACGTGGACGCAATTCCCGAGGTCCCCCTGGCGCTGCCCACCTCGGCCATCTTCGCCAGCTTCCTCTCCTACTCTCCTTACCCCCACTCTAACCACAATAAACCCCTCTCACCTTCAAATCTCAGCCACCTTCCAAGAACAAGATCCTCACCAGCCTGAGATAGTTACTTCGTTGGTCGGGATTTTTTTGCCCGTTTTCTTTCTGACAAACCCATCCATCCTCTTCTGTGCCTCCCGCCACACTAGACGTCAATCGACCAGCACCTTTCACGCGGTATGCTTGAGGAAGCATTCGCGCTTGTTTTCCCAGCAAGCGTAGCCTGATTTGAGGGATACACATCTTACGATCTCTTGGACAGCAGCCATCAACACACAGCAGATGCCTTGGCACCCATCGTGAGTTACTCTTTGTCGTCAAGAGTGGGCGCAAGTTAACTGAAGTAGTGTTACCAGCTTAACAAACTGAATCAAACGCGCAGCAGTCACAAAGACCTTGAGTAATACTTACAACCTACCTGTCTGCCATTCAGTTTCAACCAAGGAGCCCCATCTTAACAAATTGATCAAATCAACAACAATGGCATCCCTGCAGCCCACTTACGGAGGATGGTTGATCAAAGCTTCCAGGGATTGGTACTTCCTGGCCATGGAGAAGGTCCCTCAGAAATACGGTCTCTCTAAGAACGCCCAGCAATTGCTGCAGTACTTGGACGATGTCAAGGCGAAGATGATGGATGAGTACGAGCTTGGCCGGATGGTCCGCATGAGCAATGAAAACCGCAAGGCCGTCACCGACACCATCCGCAAGGTTGCACTCCTGATGCAGAAGCAGCCAAGGGAGCAGAAGAACTGTATCAAGCTGATTGAGATGTGCACTGAGATCTTGGACATCGCTAGTGAGTATCAGTTAGCCCCCATTCATTCAGCCTTTGACCGTTGGGCCACTGCATCCTTTGAACCCTTAGAGGGCATGGGCTGACTTTCATACAACAGACCGCCCTCCTCCTCCTGCAGCATTCCCCTTCATGAAGTTCCCCCGGGAAATTCGAGCCCGCATCCTCGACATAATCATCGACCAGCATGGTGACACCGAGAAGTTGCAGCCGGTCAAGTGGGGTACCTGCAACTGCGTCAACCCAGAGAGGGAGAAGTTCCCGGTTGTCTCAAAGGCCCAGAGGAAGACGTTCAAGCAGCTTGGCATGTCGTTGGGTGACGAGTTCTATGACGTCCTGTACAAGAAAAGAAATTGGTACTTCTCCTGCTGTTGCACGCTTAACAAGGCACTCCAAGGCAACACCAAGCTTCGGACGTACTTGCGTAACGCCCATGTCCACTGGTGCGGCCCCATGGCCAACAAGGCGTTCGAGAACCTGGCCAAATGCCCCAGCTTGAGAAACCTTACCATCAAGATCTCCAAGGCGACGATGACCATTCTGAACACGCGCGAGGCTGGTTTGGCCAGCTTCTTCTCTCTGAACAAGCGGAGACTGATGGACTGTCTCGGCGCCGACGAGCTCCTGCTTATCCAAGGCCTCGAGGAGGTCCATGTTGAGCATGTCAGCTCGGTCCAGAAGGACAAGCTGAACGAGTACGACCGCCAGGGTCTGCTTTCGCTTCTGAAGGCCAAGTGCAAGGATCGCTTCTGAAGGGATTGAAGGAAGTGTGTGCAGAGAACTGGACGAGAAGCAGAAAAGCATGTCAGGGCGGTACTGGGTCTTAAGTTTTGGCATCGAAATACAGTGGAAAGCGCCAAACAATGGCTATAGGATTCCCGAGGCGATGCTAGTACAGACGGATATTCAGGAGACAATGAACATTGCAACGGAGATAGCAAATCATGCCAGCAGCCAGAAGTAGGCAGGTATTTGAAGTCTGAATGAAACGAATCGCAATATTGCAATTGGCTATCGGGAGACCGGTGATTGCGAGTTACAAAAATTGAGATCTGCAACTGACAGAGCCATGTTGTCGGCGCAAGCCAACACCAAATGAGGCTGGATATTTCATAGATGTGACAACAGATAAATTACGAAAGCCTTCACTTCAAGTCTAAAGGTTCCGTACTCAAAGAACATTGTCTGGGGGTTGATCTTGTCTTGTACACGTCGCCGAAGCGTGGTGTATCCGGCTCAAGATCAGCAGTCGGCAAGGCTAAACTGATCGAGCTATGGCAAAAGACGGCGTGGTGTGTCACAGGAAAGAAACAAAAACAGACACGGAGTCGAGCTGCGCCATAACCTACCGGTGGTTTCGCGACTGCAATTGGCAGTGGGATGTCAACATTGACTCTGTTGCCTGTTGCTCATGTTCCAGTAGGCATTCTCATGCGCCTGGAGCAGCATGGCGAACTTTCAAAAGACCAAGAGCTGTGCGGCCGGTTGCGACGGCAGGCAGTATGCAGATTGAAGGATTGCATGTCGATGAGATTGTGAGGAGGAGGAAGGAAAGAAAAAATTCGCCCAGCCGAAAAATAAGCGGTGCGCCTTCTTGGCTGTCAGCGTGTGACCCTAGCCACGGAGGTGGGCCGCACTGTGTTTGTCCGACCTGAGAGATCGGCGTTTTGACGCTCCTCCACCGTGACTCTGCACAGTGTTCATGCAAGTAAGCAGTCCACACTGTGTCCTTTATGCTGCCCAGAGCACAGTGCTCCGAGCGGGCAACAGCGGGCGGCGGGCAGGTGCCTCGACCAGAGGGTGGTGCCTGCTGCCCGCCTGCAACCTCCATCCCCACAGGAAGGTCGCGTGGTGCTTTTCCAAAAGGAGCCTTCCCGCGACAGGGATATTGTACGTCCACAGGGGTCTTGGAGGGCATTTTCGCTTTCTGGCCTGTTATCTCGGGTCTTCCATCTCGCCAACCGCACCTGCCATCGTAGGCGAATGGGTGCAGGCGCTCACGGTGACGCCCACCCTCCCTCTGCGTATCCGTAATCCTCATTGCCAATGCGGCCCCCTAAGCCTGAAGGCGCATCCCTTCCCCGTTGCGCCTGAGAGCTTCCCACCATCCTCTAGACTGGCTCGCTGAGGAATGAGATCCCAAGACCATGGACGGGTCTCTTTCCGTAGCGGACTCTTGGCAGCGCCAGCCCTGTCATCCGCCCGTTTCTTGGCTTCTGCATCCCATGGCTTGTGGCATTATAAGGGAAATGGCAGCCGCGGTCTCGCATTCGCGCCTGGAGGAGGGGGTAGCTCACCACCTCTGATCCTTTCAACCGTTTCCCTCCCGCCTCTTCTCACATCCTCCTCACGAGAGAGACACGCACGATCGTGTGTGTAAGAGAGAGATAGAGAGAGCGCGTGCGAGTGTGTCTCTCCGTTCCCGTCCCGTCCTTCTTCGCAGCGCCGCACCGAGCCAGCGGCCCGGGAAACCTTCTACAACACTAAACGGAAGAGAATGCCGTTTCCCGCCGACCACGACCGCCGCCGCCACCACCAGTCGGAACATTGATTCACGTCGCGCCTCCGTGGTTCCTTTTTCCTCTCTCCTAGCCCGCGATGCTCCGCATCCAAAGGCTGGCCGCCTCCGCAGGGAGCTCGCCACTTCTCCTAAAGATTTTACCACGCCTCTCCCTCGTTATCTTGATTCTTTGTGTTGTCTATCAGTATTTTGTATTCGGTATGGATTCTGCAAGCCCCCAAAGGCCCCACACCTGCACCCCCCCCTCCCCCCCCAAAAAAAACTCCAACATAATACGAGCTGATACGAACTACAGGCCAGCACGATCCTTACAGGTGCGGTAGCTTGCTCTCGAGTGGAAGATGGCGCTCTAGTCAAGACTCGAACTTGCCGAGAGATATCTTCAAGAGATGGGAGCCCGAAGACTGTCGCATGCGCGAGCTGTCCCGTGAAGATATGTCGAGCTGCTTGAGGGACCGTCGCCTAGTGATTGCCGGCGATTCGACCATGCGCCAAATCTACTTTGCTGCCATGACCCGGTTGGACCATCACGTCGCCGAGAAAGCCATCCTTGACTTTGCCGTTTCCAAAAACAAGCACCTGAACCTTGCCAAAGACGTCGAGGGTGTGAAGCTCGAATTTATCTGGGACCCATGGCTCAACTCCACCGCCCTTTTCAGCCAATTGGCTCGATTCCGGGAACGTCCTGGCTCTGCAGATTACGAGAAACTCGTCCGCAAGGAGGGCAAAGACTCGGCCGCCCTCATTGTTGTTGGTACACCAGGTCTCTGGGCGGCTCGCCAGGGCGGTGATCGGTACTTGGAGCTCTTCAGAGAAGGCATCAACAACCTGATGCCGTACCTGCATCGTGATTTTGATCACTTGGTGGTGCTGCCCAAGAGCAAGTCGCAGTCGGCATTCGAAGAGCTCTCCAACCATGTGCTTGTCGCACCCGTGCCTATCCCAGCGTATGACAAGCTATTGACGTCCCGGGCAAGAACAATCACGCCCGAGAAGATAGACGCCATGAACTGGAATCTGGACAATTTTGAGCCGGCGGAACGAACACATGTCATCGAGAGCTACAATGCAATGCTGGATAGCCACGACGATGCTCTTCTTGACGACGGGCTGCATGCTGTAGACATTGTGGCCGAACGGAAACTCGACGTTATTTTGAACGCTCACTGCAACTCTGGATTGGTCAGAAATGGATACGCAAACCAGATCACTTGTTGCGCCCCCTACCCGTCCCTGTCCGGGGTTCAGGTGCTGCTTCTTGGACTCAGTATTCTAGCGCTGCCTATCCTATTTCTGGACCGGAGACAGGACGCTTTCCCTTCCGCTCGTACGCCGCAGGTCATGGACTCTCTGCTTGCCGCAGCCACCCTCGTCGCCATTGCTGTTTACTGCCTGCTCGCCGACCGCACTCACCTCTTGATCAAGCATGATAAGCATTTCGACGTGCCCGACTTTATCTTGCCTGTCATTGGTCTGGCAATTCTCGCAGGCCTCTCCCTTCGGTCAAGACCGCCTGTTCTGTCTTCCGCAAAAGGTCTCACGACGACTTCATTTCTGTCCCGTGAACAAACCGACGAGTGGAAGGGTTGGATGCAGGCGTTCATTCTGCTATACAACTACCACGCTGCATCCGAGTCACTCGCGATGTACAAGGTGCACAAGTTCCTAGTGGCGACTTACATCTTTCTGTCCTGCTATGGCCACACAAGCTACTTTCTCCGTACAGAGGACTTCACATTAAGACGGGCAACGTATGTGCTGGTCCGGCTCAACCTTCTCAGCTGCATTCTAGGCCTCGCGACGTCCAGCGAATGGATCATCTACTCGGCGCCGCTCATGACGTTTTGGTTCGGTGTAACATTCGCATCGCTGGCTTGCTTCAAAACGCTCAACAACAACCCTGTCGCCTTCTTTCTCAAGATTGTGGTCTTCGCAACCTGCACGACCTTCCTGGTCCGAAGCACACACCTCCCGGAGACGTTCTTGAGGGTTCTCAAGTCAACCAGCGGCATTCATTGGAACGTGGATATGCTGCGGTCGCATTTCGCGTTGAATCGCTTCGTGCCGTACTTTGGCATACTCACAGCTGCAGCTGCCCATCGAATTTCCGTTCTTCGCTGCCGTCAGCACGGCATCAACGCTCGCGCGCCATTCGAAAGAGCCAACGACGCCTTTGATCGGGGGATTTTGGAGGTTGCGTATCCCGAGAGAGACGCGATTCCGGTGAAGCCGATAATGATATGCTTTGCGATTGCCTATCTCGTCGTATTCATCATCTTGGCATTTGCGGCGGACGTCTACCACAACAACGACTCCTACAACGCTTTTCACCCATACACCAGTCCTTGGTTTGTCCTGTCAGCAGTCATCACGCGCAACTCCTTCAAAGCACTGCGTGAACTTCACGTTCCACTGGGTGCAACTCTTGGACGGTTGTCCCTCGAGGCGTACGTTCTTCACCACCACATCTGGTTAGCCAGCGATGGCGCCGGGGTGTTAAGAATCGGGCGCCCGGGCTACCTCCCGAGGTCGCTTGAAGTAGTAATAATCGCAGCTATATTCCTCTGGGCGTGCGCTAAGAGCCACAGTGCCACTCGACGTATTGCCTGCAGCATGACAGGTACTGAGAGCCAGGAGGAATCTGAGGACGTCACTCTGGGTCGACCCGTTAGGGACGGTAAGAAGAGTCCTATTCCGTGGCAGCCCGCAGTGGCAGACGACAAAGCAGCAGAGAAGGCGGCAGGGAGTGTGAAGCAGAGCGGCACCTCTGTTTCGAACGGCGCTTTGAGGCTTCGGGTTGTGGGATTATTGGCGGTGCTGTGGTTGGGAAACGCGATGTACGGAACTTGACGAGAATGGCAGGACGACTTGCGAGCTGGAGCTGAAAGCCCATGAGCCCCAATTCACCACACGATAGATACTTAATTACAATAATGCTTACACGAGGCAACACGCCACGGAATCGCAGTTGACACACGATCCCTGCAAATTCGTCAGTTGCATTGTAGTTGCAGCGTTACTAAACAAGAACAGGGGTTAGGGGCTCACGTCGGTGTTTCGGGTGTGCTCCGTCTGCGCACAGCCAAACCGCCATCTAGTTGAGGGAAAACAAGCTTCGACGTCCTCCGAAAGCCAAGCTGCCATCGGTTCAAGCGGAACAGAGTCGTTTTCTGCCCCATCTTGGCATCAGCATCGGCTTGAGCTTAACTCAAATGAAAACTTTAGTTTTAAGCCCCTTTTCCTAGCTTCAAAAGCCGCACTCGACTCTAAATTTCGCTTTGCGTTACGTTTCAACATGAGAGCGCATCTTTGCCAACGCAAATGCCAGCAATAATCCCCTTGGCAATCGACATGCCGAGCATCAACCGACCAAGATGCGCGACGATTATCACCGGCATGGTCGCGACGACTTGCCAGATTTTACAACACGGCGCGCTTCCCGACTCCTGACTCTTAAGACCAAGGGATGGAAAAGCCCCAATGACAGAGGGCCCGGATGAGGCTCTTCCGCCCTACCGTTTCGCGTGGGTCGCGAAATCGGCTGGGGTCATTTGGCCAACGTGATTGGCGGCTTGATCCCGAAACTCGTCCTGTCGTCGATGGGATGATGCCCCGTTGACAGCTGTGTACCTGGCGGTTGAGACGGCACGTCAGTGCCTGTCAAGGTTGGATGGCAGGACTCACGAGAAGCATAGTTCGGCAGACAGGCTGGTGCCCTCTTTTACCCCTCCCCCGAAGGACCCTTTTCCTTGTCTCAGGGCTCGAGATGCCTCTTTGCGCCTCGAATCCCCCTCTTAAATCATGCTGTCCCGTGTGCTTTAACCTCCGAAGACTAGGGCCGGGGTGGGTGACGAGACGATGTCCACCAGATCGTCTGTCCATCCCCTGCGATGTGCTCGCTTCGTTCAGGCATCTCGCGGTGGACGACGGGAAACGCTGCTCCCGGCGGCAGGAGGGATTCATCGACAGAGGGCGGATTTGCGTGGAGGCTGTCGGTGGTCGAAGGTTTATACTTAAAGACGAGGCTCCAAATCCGCACCCCGTCGCAGCGGATCATGAGAGATCATAGGATTTGCTTCCCAGGAGTAGATCTCTTGGCCTCGCGTTTACTTTCCACGACCGTTTCTTTCTCTCGGTGAGCCCTAGAGGTCGCCTAATACCTTCATTCTATACTCGATACGTAATCGATTTGCATTTGGCTGTGCCTGGCATCATATCTGTCCTTTCTTTTGAATTCTAATCTTTGGTGTGACGAGATCCAAAATGCAACTGAAACATCTTCTCACTGGCCTTGCGGTCTTCAGCTCACTTGCTGCTGCTGGTAGGTCTCAAGTGCGATATGATGACCGGATAAGGTACTGACTTGCCCCGACAGCCCCAGCAACTGCACCCGCGCAAGACGCCAAAGCCGCAGACAAGGGCGCGCAAAAGCAGGACCAGAACAAGGACCAAAACAAGAACAACAAGAATAACAATAATGGAAAGACCAACAACAACAACAACAACAACAACAACAACAACAACAACAACAACAACAACAACAACAACAACAACAACAACAACAACAACAACAACAACAACAACAACAACAGCAATAACAAGAACAACGGAGACGTGACGATTATACAAAACATCATCAAGCCCAACATCATCGTCGTGCAGGAGAACCTCGACAAGATCAACCAGCTCCAGCGCCAGAACGAGAGGGAGTTGGCGTTGCTGGTACAGTCCCAGCTTGCTCTTGCGACGCAACTGCAGGCTGTCAAGGACAACATTCGCATCAACCACTTCAAGGCGCAGTTTCCCCAAGCGGTGAGTTACTCCTGGTGTCCTGCGTCTTTTCTTCCAAGTTGGTCCTGTGCTAAGACTGCTACCAGAACACCATCATCGTGACCGTCACTGGCGTCGTTGACAACCGCCAAGGTGGAGGACAGAACAAGCGATACCTCGTGAACCAGCTCCTCGCCGACAATGGCAAGCCGGGACAGCAAGCCTTGGTAATGGTCAATGACCCGACACCCATGGACATCTCAACGCAACAGGCGGCATCTTCGCAATCCGACACTTTCGGGGCTGCCCGCGTCGCACTCGACTCTGCCTCTGATGCCGTGTCGAACAACACCGACGGTGTCCAAGCCGCCGCCGCTCCCACTCCAGGAGCCGACGAAAGCGACACCACCCTCAAGCTTGCTGCGTTCGACCAGGCCGCTCCGTTTGGACAAGTCGGCCAGAGCATCATCCTTCCCGCGGGCACGCAAGCTCCTCAACTGGCCGCGTCAGTTCCAGACCCCGCCGCCATCATTCTGCCGAATCAGGCCGGTCTCTTCGTTTCCAACGCAGCTACTTTCCTAACAGACTGCGCCTCGACCGCCGCCAATGCTGCTGCCGGCAATCCTGCACTCGCTGGAGCTGCTTTGAACATCTTCTCCTCGTTCCAGCAGATCGCTGCCGCACAGCTTGCGGGTCTGTCGGGTCTGGGCATCTTTAACAACGCCGGACAGGTGCAGGGACAGCCTCTGGGTGCTATTGCCGTTGGTGCCAACCAGCCGGCTGCGGCCGCTCCTCCTGCCGTCGCTCCTCCAGCCCAGGGAGGATCTCTTGGTGCCATTGCCGTCGGCGCAAACCAGGGCCAGCCAGCCGCGGCGCCTCAGCCTCCGGCCGCGGTTCTCGCCGGGGCTAACCAAGCGCAACCTGCTGCTGCTTCCCCACCGCCGCCTCAGGGAAGCTCGGGATCAGGTGTGGTAATCGTGGGATCGAGCCCGGGAGGAGCTCCAGCACCAGCTGCTCAGCCTGCGGCGCAACCTGCGGCGCAACCCCCTGCGGCCGTTCTCGACGGGGCGAATCAGGCGCCCGCAAATCCACCAGCTGTGGCCCCGGCTCCGGCCCCGGCAGCATAGGGAAACGGGATTCGACAGTGCACTACGTGCGATGGAGTTGGGGACGGGGAGTTTGGGTTGGGCTGCTGGGTCGGGATATCCAACGGGAGGAATGTGGCGAGGACAGAAAAGGAGAGCAATACACATTCGAAACTGCAAACATGTATACCTCTCGTGGCTCTATGGTTTATGTAAATGCTTAATGAGGGAGGGATTGTATCAGAGACGCAAGAGGTTCTTGTGCTTGTGCTATGTAATTATACTGAATGAAACTGTAACACCTACCTACCTACCGCGTATGAGTGCCTGCCTGGATGTCTTGAGAGTTCAAAGACGGCAAATCGGTTGATGCTGCAGTGATGACACGACAGTGATCAATTGCAGGCCATTGTAGAATTTCGGCAGTAGACCATAGCCCAGTGAATGACACAAATGTCCAGGCTCGTTCACACTTGCAATGGCACTCTAAAAAGCACCAGGGGTCCTTTTCCATGTTTCTCGGCCGGGGCCGTCAATTTTATGGACTTCACAGTGGTCGATGTTAGACTGGCCGAGAACAGCGGGCATGAACAGCCAATCAAACACAATAAACACTGCCCCTCAGACCCACAGTGGGATTTCAGCAGGGGCAATGGACCAACGACGGACGACTCTTTTGAGGCAAAGACCGCGAGGGAGGTGGTCAAGCGAGGAAGAAAAAAAAGGGTGCGTCGGCCTTGCACGTGACCCTACCCTAGCGAGGCCCACGCCACGCCAGAAATTTCCCACACCCGAAGCGCACCTCCAACTCTATCATTGCTCGTCTGTATCCCGACTTCGTCGTCAACCATCAACACCCGACACCTAGGAGCAACCATCTCGACAGTTGCCCAGCATGTCGCTCGTCTCGGGGGAGAAGAGTGCGTTATCACCCGCGAACCGATACAATTATGGAGGAGAGCGAAATTGGCTGACAGTCTCGTTACAGCGAACTTCCAGTTCATCCTTCGTCTTCTGAGTACGTTTTACCCTCTCTCCCAGCACACACCCACACCCCCGTTTGACGATCCCATGCGACGACGAACAATCCGAATTCCGAGAAATGATGGAGGCGAGAGGCTAACGTGCGCTTTTCATAGACACCAACGTTCGTGGCCAGGAGAAGGTCATGTACGCCCTCACCAAGATTGGTGGTGTCGGCCGTCGTTACTCCAACATTGTGTGCAAGAAGGCCGATGGTACGTTTCCCCACGATGCCGAGTAGGGGCAATCCCTTGCTTCTGAAAGACAGAAAATCGAGAGTTACCAGAGGTGCTGACTTCGCCCAACAGTCGACCTGAACAAGCGCGCCGGTGAGCTCACCTCGGAAGAGCTCGAGCGTATCGTCACCATCATCCAGAACCCCACCCAGTACAAGATCCCCGCGTGGTTCCTCAACAGACAGCGCGACATTGTCGACGGCAAGGACAGCCAGATCCTCGCCAACGGTGTCGCCTCCAAGCTCCGCGACGATCTCGAGCGCCTCAAGAAGATCCGCGCCCACCGTGGTCTCCGTCACTACTGGGGCCTGCGTGTCCGTGGTCAGCACACCAAGACCACCGGTCGCCGCGGCCGTACCGTCGGTGTCTCCAAGAAGAAGGGTGGCTAAACGTATCGCTCGTCATGACGACTCTGACGAGGGTTTGGGTGGTGTTGCGGCTGGGGACCAACAAACATTAAGGCGGCCGGCGTGTTATCGGGCTTGGTTTTTCTCTCTATGTCTCTTGGCGACAACATCCATCTACAACAAAATGATGATGATTCATTCTCTGGGGCATTACCACCACCCGCTGAGGAGGGGATTGCTATTCAGATAACATGAACAAACAACGGAAGAGTCTCCATCATACCAAGAAACAAAAAGGCTTTCAAAAAAAAGTTGACTTTTGGTTCCTTGTGATGTGACTACTGGTGTCTAAAAAATGGGAATTGATTTGTTGTTCAACATGCCGGGATCGTATAAACTTGTGACATGCCATTATCTGAATCTGCGCCTGGGTTTCCGTGTTCTGGATTTCATTGTGGACCTTTCAGTGACATGTCGAGTGTCTGCCATTTCGGACATGTGCGACATCCAAGCGAGCGGAGCTGCCACCGCCGTGTGGGGGTTATCCTGCGGCGATCTGTAAGATGCTGGTGATGGAGATATCGGCCCCGGCCCCCCCCNCCCCCCCCCCCCCCCCCCCCCCCCCCCCCGACGGCCTCGACGTCATTGAGGGTGGTGCCTCAGCATATGAACTTGCTGATCTCGGACTCTTTCCCAGGGCTCCATGGTGAAGGCTGTAGCTCCCAGAGTAGTGTGTGCATAATGGCAAACTCCTCGTCTTAACATATGTCAGTACTTCAGTATGACCCCATCACAGACAGCAAGCAGCATCGCAACGTGAAGAGTGCCAAACGTTAAAACCACTATGCCATATTCGTATCATTAAGAACAAACCCTCGATCTAGGGGGGTATCGTGCCACGTCTTGCTCTCTTTCCTTTTACTTCTCCTCGAGCCCTTCATCTCTAGTCTTCATGGATAACAGCCATATCCAACACCTCAACCCGTCCCTGTCCCCTCGTCTCGCTCGAGATGAAGTCACCCAGCCCCTTGAACGCACCCGGCTCGACAAAGCCCACGACCTCCCACTCGCTGCCCAGCACGTCCTGGCTTTCGACCTGCTCCACGAAACCTAGAATACGGTCCTTGACGGTTCCCGCCTTGGCCTGCTCCCCGTCCTCGCCACTTTTGGGCGCCGTCGACTTGACGGCCTGCTTCAGCACGCTGGTCGCACACGTCACCCTCAGCCTCATCCGCGCCCTCTGCACGGGGATCGGCTGCGCCGCGATCAGCGCCTTCATTGCCTCCAGCGCCTGGCTCTTCGCCGACTTGGTCGTCACCACGCCCGTCCAGTGCGGCGCGCTCTTCTCCCTCGGCTTCGCCTCCCCCTCCTCCCCGCCCGCAGGCGTTCCTGCGCCGCTGTTTACCGCACTGCTGCCGCCCTTCTTTCCCGCGCTGGCCGCGTCCTCCGCAGCAGAGTGCGCCGCCGACGACAGCATGTCCAGCGCCTTCTCAATCATGCCCGTCGTGTATACCCTCTTCGTCCGCGGGTCCACGAGCCTGCTGGCCACGATGCCGATGACCTCGTTGTGCACCCTCTCGAGCTGCTCCGCGCGCTCTTTGCCGCCGACCTGCATCTCCCCCTTCTTCAGAATCTCCAGGACGATGTCGTCGGTGGACTTGCCCTTGCCGAACGCCTTCTCGAGGTCCTCTTTGGGCGCCGTCTGACCCTTGGACACGTTGAGGAAGACGTTCGGGATCTGGAGGACGTTGTCGAGGTCCGTCTCGACGCCAGAGCGCCATTCCATCACCTTGTTCTTGTAGCACGCGATCTCGAAGCGCTTCTTGCCCTTTTTGAGCCGCACCATGGACACGTTGGTCAGCTTGATCTGGTTCGACGGTTGGTTGATTCGCGACGACATCGTGGCGGTTTACTGCTTCGGCAGTGGCGTTTGCGTTTGTTTCGCGATCGATACAAGGTTGGGGACTTGTGTGTAGTAGTTTTCACTATTCAAGTGGGAAAATCGAATAGTTCGTCGTCGTCGGTGTTGCTGTTTGCACGAGGTTCTCGCCCGAAAAGTTTTGGCGGGGTAGTTGGTTGTACAGCAGCTGCTAGGAGGGGCAGCGGGCGGTGAAATATCTGTAGGCTGGTACCTGGGCAGGTTGATCTGACGTTGTTTTGCGGGTACGGCACCTGCTTGGACATGCGCCGCCGCGGTGACTAATACCATCATTTCGACTCATCCCCGAATCTTAGTCAAATCGGATGGAACGCGACCATAAATGGCTCAAGATATGTCACTCGATACCAAGATTGCGATCATGTTTACGTGAAAAGAGTCATATTTTAGCAGCGTAACTAAGATCTACCGCGCCGGGCTGACACTGGCGCCCACCCAAACGAGACGACTGGGTCTCTGGTATTTATATACTCCAATGCCCAGTCTACAATCCAATACAAGCGGTCACTGCGACAATCCGTCCACACGAATCATTCTTTCGTTCATACAAATCGTTACAATAAGCAAGCTTAAGCGCTCCACTCACCGCCCAACCAGCGGTTGAAGAAGTCTGATGAAGCCTCGGGCTGGTCCATGGGGACCATGTGGCCAGCGCCGTAGAGTTGCATGAAGGTAAAGTTGCCGCTGGACTTGACCTTGCCGTACTCCTCGCCCTTGCCAACGTGGAGGCCCTTGACCTCGGCCTTGTTGAAGGACTTCTGACCAGGCCACTCGAGAGCCTCGGTCCAGGCACGGTTGCCGAGCCAGTTGCAGATGTAGTCAGCATCACCAGCGTAGATGAGGACGGGGATCTTCTCGAGAAGCTTGGGAACAACACGGTGGAACGGCTGGAACCAGTCGCCAGCGAAGAGGAAGTTGCGGTTGATGTCAAAGTTGCAGCTGTCGTAGCTGTCAACCTCAGCGCCGAGGGCCTCCTTGACGGAATCCTGGTTCAGGTAGTCGGCGATCCAGCCAAGAGCAGAGTAGCACAGGTTGCTGCTGTCCTCGCACTTGCCACGGATGTCGTAAACGTTCTGTCCGGTGCGCTGGTAAGGGCCGATGAGTGCGTTGTTGCAGTAGATGCTGGCAGGGACGCAAGACCAGACGCTGCCGGAATCGTAGCAGTTGTTGATCAGGCTCTGGCAGCGGGGAAGAGCGTTGTCCATGGCCTGGCACTCGCCCTGGTCGAGAACGGCAGGGTAGCCACCCTCTCCGCAAGCCATGGGGCGGTAGTATTCGTACTGGGTCAGGCCGTCAGTGAGACCGTTGCCAATCAGAACACTCTTCAGGTTGATGTTGCGGTCCTCGTGAGAGAGAATCTCAGAGGCGAAGACGGGGATGTAGTGGCCGGCGTAGGACTCGCCAGCAATGTGGAAGTCCTGCTTGGCGTACTCGGGGAACTCGTGGAAGAAGAGGGAGAGCAAGGCGTAGACATCCTTGCCAGCAGCGACCGTGTTG